GGCCCAGACGGCCACTATGAGATGCTGGGCACCTGCCGCATGGTGGGCGACCCCTACCCCGCGCGGGGCCCCGGCGCCGGCGCGCGGCCCGACGGCGGCGACGCCCTGAGTGAGCAGAGCGGCGCGCCTCCGCCCTCCACGCTGGTGCAGGGCCCCCAGGGGAAACCGGGCCGCACCGGCAAGCCTGGACCCCCGGGTCCTCCCGGAGACCCGGGTCCTCCGGGCCCCGTGGGGCCGCCGGGGGAGAAAGGAGAGCCAGGCAAGCCGGGCCCTCCCGGGCTGCCAGGCGCGGGTGGCAGCGGCGCCATCAGCACGGCCACCTACACCACAGTGCCGCGCGTGGCCTTCTACGCTGGCCTCAAGAACCCTCACGAGGGTTACGAAGTGCTCAAGTTTGACGACGTGGTCACCAACCTGGGCAACAATTACGACGCGGCCAGCGGCAAGTTTACGTGCAACATTCCCGGCACCTACTTTTTCACCTACCATGTCCTCATGCGCGGCGGCGACGGCACCAGTATGTGGGCGGACCTCTGCAAGAATGGACAGGTGGGCCAGGCGAGGGCATGGGGCTGGCCTAGGGCAGGGACCCCGGACAAATGGGTACCGGATCAGAGTCGGCAGGCCTGCCAGACGCGCGCAGGTGGAGACCGCACAGCAGCTCTGTTAAAGCTTCACAAGCGAGGATAGTCGGAACCTCCTGGTCCCCCTGACTCCTCGGTTCTTGGGCTCTAGCTCCAAGCGGACGCTGCTGGGCATCAGCGGCGGTGTGGAAATGCAAAGGATAAACCCAACTAGTCGGAGCGCAGGGCTTCGGGGCTCGAGGGCCGATTCTTGGGGGCATGTCCCTTGGGAAGCGAATGCAGGCTGAAGTCAGCTGAGAGCTGGGATTCAGGCTGATACCAACGGGCGATAGGAGGAGGGCTAGGATGGGCTGTGGGGCACCGGCGGGGGAGAGACAGCCTTGGTTCCCGCGAGCGCCTATGCGCTCCGCTGTGCGCGCAAGCGGAGAAGGCGGGCTGCAGGAAACGTTTGGGGCACAAAGGCAAAGGGAACCCGAGGCGCAGAGCCTTAGCTGCAGTACATTGCCTGCCCTTGGGAAGGGACCTCTGAGCCGATTTGACTCTCTAAAATGCGGGACCGTGCGGCTCGGTTGGTCCCCCTTTGCCAGAGCCACTAGCTGCAAGAGGTAGCCTCCGGGGAAAAGTTTCTCCTCCCGAGGCGGATAAAGAGATGGAAACTCTCCCACCTCTTGGTCTCCCAGCTCCGATCCCTCCTGACCCTGGGAGTGTGGGGGCTATCCTCTCCATTTCCTGGCCCCATCCCAGATACGGGAGTGGAAGGCATGAGTTCCTGGGGATTCTGGTACTGAGACCCACTTGTGCCAGGTACTCTTCATGGGATGGCAGGCCCTCAACCCAATCCTGTCCCAGGGTGACAACTTCACCCAGCTCCCTTGATAGCAACTCCATTCCCAGCGTTCCCAACTCGCGGTGGCATGAGGCCCCAGGGGTGTGATCAGGTTGAGCATCCTATTGGAAGATGGGGACTCTGGTCAGAGCTACAGCTGGACTAAACTGGAATTAGGACTCTCCTGGGACTGAGACCCCAAGACTGTGTCAGAACTTCTCTGACCACAGCACTACCCCAGGCTCTACTGGCCTGTGGGTCTGCAAGGCTTAGGGGTGAGGGAAGGGGCAGGCAGGGGGAGTCAGCAGAAATCCTACCAGATGCTTGTAAGTCTGCCCCCCATTTCCTTTGCCTGGCCATCCCCCTATGCACCCCATTTTGTTTTCTGCCTCTCCCCTGTCTCTTTCTTCTAGGTCTCTGTCTCTTGTCCACCTCTCCGCTGTGTATATATTCACATATATCTATCACTGGGTTTCTGGCCTCTCTCCCCTGGGTCTCACCCTCTCTCCTTTATCCCTTGTGTAGTATCTCTCTCCCACTGGTGTCTGTCAGGCTTCCCCAAGTCTCTCCTCTTTGTCCTTGCTTCTTGACCAAATGGGAGGCCCCAGTATCAGGCAAGGGCTCACTCTGCAGACAGCCCCACAATTGCCTATATTAATCACCAATAAGAGATGCAGCAAAGTCACCTTCATCAATTGAATTTCTATCCTAAAGAAAGTTTGGATGGGTGCAAAGCTAGGGCTTCAGGGGACTGGAGGCTTGCTTGGATAGGGAGGCCATCACCAGGCCACCCACAGGCCCTAGACCCTGCAGCCTCTCAGGCCACAGCAGGGCTCCAGAGACGGGGCAAGAGAAGGCCCCAGTGCTTGGGGTAGAGGCACTTGCTTTTGTCATTGGGAGGTGAAACCATCTGAAGAGCCCCTTTATCCCCCTCTAGCAGGGGCAGGTTATGGTCAGAGCTGATGAAGGGGTACTCACTGGAAGGGGGACCATGAACTGGCAGAGAAAAGGTGGTAGCTTCAACCAGGGGTTTCAAGACCCAGTACTTAGCAGTTACTCAGTCTGCTCTCCCACCCCATAAATCAAACAAGAGAAACAGTGGGGCATACAGTTGCCTCCCCATGCCCTTTGTGACTTCTTCCAGGTTGCCCAGAAGACTCGTTTAGTCTCACTGGTCATTCCACATGTTGGTTTTAAGCCCCAGAAGGAGCCAGGTTTGGGGCTTGGTACCAAGGGGTCATTGTACTTACCCTCCAGAACCAGATGGCCTGTGCAGGGGGTACAGGAGTAACTGAACAGTAACAGCCCTGATGAGGATGCGCTTAAAGGTGGGCTGGGAGCCCAGCTGGCATTTCCTGTACCGGGATGTGTTGGCTGGAAGCAGTGATTCAGTGGAGCCTGCCCTGGCCGAGACCCCCCTGGTGTAGGAGACACTGTAGAGAAATGCTGGCTCAAGGTGGGTGAGGACGTTCAGTTAAGCAGGAAAAAAAAAATTATGGGCTGGCTACGGACAGGGACAGAAGAGGGGAGCTTGTACCCCCCCTTGTCTTCAGGACCAGGGACCTCCCTATACTCCATGCTTTTCCTTCCTGGCTTCCTGCCTGCAGAGAGGTTTCCAGAATTTCTTCAGGAAGAAAGAGCAGAATCTGGGCTCTGGGTCTTCTCCGGCAAAGATAAGTTGGGGGCAGGGGTGAATTGCCATCTTCATGCCTGGTGCTGAGAGCCACCGACCCCTTGAGTCAACACCCTTCAACCTGATGGCCCTGGTCACTAGGCCCTTGAGTCAACACCCTTCAACCTGATGGCCTTGGTCACAAGCACTTGAGGAGCCTAAGGAAAAGGCTCTAGGTTGGGGACAGCGTCCTACGTGAGGTGAGCTGCCTCTCGCTGCCTCTCACTGCCTCCAGGATCTACAGTTCAGATGGATCCGAAAGGACACAAAATTGATAAGCTGGCATGGGATCCTGGGGCCGTGGGGGACATGCCAGGGCTTCTGGTCATGGTGCTACTTGTCCCGGAAAGGGGGACATAGGGAAGTGGGCAAGGGATTGGACACAGTTTGACTGAGATGGGGGATGGTGGCGTTTATAAATTGAGCCGCAGAACAGCCTCTCATCTGGTGGTGTGAGAGGAACCCCCAACTGTCCTCTCTGGCCCCTAATACCTTTCACAGAAGGGCACATGCCTGGCATAGTAGGGACCTAGGAAATGTGTGAAAACACAAGTAGCCCTTGCGGCTGGGCTGGCTGCCTGTGGAAGCCACACCTGTATATCCAAAACCCCAGCTTTGATCTGGGGGCAGAGATGCATTTTCTGAGTACTCCACCCACCTGCCCAGTTCCCCTTGTCAGCCCACTGCCTCGGTTTCACCTTTTAGCAGCCCCTGAGGAGGTAATTCCCTAGTGATGATAGTAGCCAGACCTGTTTTCCTAGTTCCATGGTAACCTCAATTCCCCAGACTTCCCTTCCACCCCAGGAGGAACTGGATGTCTCTCTTATTTCCATTCTTGGGCAGAGAATTGGGAACCGTAGGTTCTGTTCCTGGATCCTCCACCATCTAAGGATGAAAGGGTGTAAATTCTCCCTGCCTCCATGGATAATTAGGATAATTACAGCAACAATCATGGTGATGAATAAATAATAAACATAAGCAGAACAGTTCTGATGCCTGTCACATCACCAGGAGATTCCTGATGACAGATGACTGTATTCTAATGGATTTGGTTATTAAAGAGCATACTGTTTTAATGAGTTAAGGCTAAATTGATCTGGGTAATAAAAATAATAGTTATTAGTAGTAATTTATTAGCAAAGATAATGAAATGCATGTGTAATAATAAATACTACCACAATTAGGGCCCAGGGAACAATACAGAAGCTGGCTGCTTGCTTTTCCCTCTTCCCTAGTAGCTCAAGACCCCATCAAGATTTAAATGTGTTTTCTTCACCATCACAAGGCTTTTGCAAAGGTGGCAGTGGTGAGGCAAGGTCTTCTTATTCATTTTTTTCTAGACAGAGAAACTGAGCTCCTTGACAAACTGCATTTCCCCCCTCATTTTATCCATCCCTTACACACACACACCCACCTAGAGCTGGGCCAGCAGTTTTCTGCAAACTGTGCCTTCCCACAATGGAAAGAAGAGGCTGAGGAAAGGGAAGGGGCTGGAGAAGTTTAGGCTTTTTTTTTCAATCTGTTTATTTCTTCCATGAGCAAGACAGAGAGTCACCCCAAACAAAGTTATACATATTTTTTTTTTGAGAGATTTTTGCTGTAGGGTAAGTGTGCTCACCAGAGAGACAGAAAGTGAGAAATTTCCCTCCAGGGGGGATGGTCACACCACAGTCTCTTCTCCATTCTCCTCTCGGGATTTTGGGCACACATGCACTCACCCAGCCTTAGTTTTAAGCCCCCAGGTCCGGGACTCAGACGGTGGCCAACTACGTGGGAGTTCAGAAACATGACCACTATGTCATCTAGTTTTTCTTAATTGCCAGAGGGTATGGGCGCTCACCAAGAAAGGGAGGACAAAGCACCCTCAGTGGGGTGTGGTCATGTCACAATTCCTTCTCCATTTCTCCATTTTTTTTTAAGAATTATTTAATTTTATTGATTTATTCATTTATTTAAATTTGACCAAAGAGAGACAGGAAAGACAGAGAGAAGCAAGAAAACAAGCCACCAGGTCCAGGACTTGAACCGTGGTCGGCCATGTGGGAGTGTCCAACATCTTAGCCACCACGTCACCTGCTGGTCCCTCCATTTCTCCATTCTGTCAGCATTCGGGACATGCATACTCATGTGCCTGGTGTGTTTTTCAGCCAGCAGGGCTGGGATTTAAACCCTGGTCAGCCATGTAGGATCTGATTCCCTTAACCACTAGACCACAGGACCAACCCCCTACAGGGTCTTGATGTTGTGACCCACCCCCAGCTTCAACCAACCTAGTTGAGTCCTCCGAGTGTGCTCAGGGAGGACTCCAGACACAGACCCGGAACCTTCCCACGTGGGGCAGCCTTGCTCTGTGTTGTGTTGCAGCTACACCACACCATGCCACCATCCAGCCCCAGGATTTGGGCTTTAAACAGGGGGTTGCATACAAATAGGCTGGGTTCCCCCTGCTGCCAAAGCAGCAGCCTTAGCACAGCTGAGCTGCAGTTCTGCCTCCAGCCTGGCTGAGAGACTAGGCCCCTCTTCTAATTTGGCTCTGTCCTACCCAGATGTCAGACCCAGGAGTGGGGTGGGGCAGCTGCCTTCAGGAAAGTGGCAGGATAGAGGGGCCGTTGAAAAGCCTGGCTGAGGAACCCCACTCAGTGCAGCCTCCCACCATCACAAGCCATAGCCCTAGAGAGGTCCCTTGTCTTCCCATTCTCCACCAAGATATCCTGGACAGGCCCCAGATCCTCAGACCCAGGCCTTGCATTGCCCCAGCTGTTAGAGAGCAGTGTCCACCATTGCAGTGCCCATGATTATGGTCACAGCCCTCAATGTGACAGCAGGCTTCAAACCCAAATACTGGTGCTCTCTTGATCAGAGTCCTGTCTGTCCCTCCCCACCCCTGATCAAGGCCAGGACCAACAAGGATGTCAGAGCAGACTGAGGACCACAGAGGAAAAGACAGATACCCTTCTTCCCACCCAGTTCCTTTCCATCACCTGAGGTGAGACAGGAGGAGCTGGAAGTCTTCTGTGGCTGCGGTCACACTCACGGGTGTATAGTCATATAGTCGCAGCTCCTTAGAGGCTGGCAGCCAGGCCCAACCTAAGCCTTGGGAAAAGGCAGAATGACCACACCTTCCATCTCATTGCTCCAGTGGGAGAGACTGGAGTAAACTTCAGCCAAGGAGTCCAAAGAACCAGCCTGGGTTCTGGGACGGTTGCTTACTAGCAGCTGGGCACTGATCCAGCCACCTGACCTATGGGGACAAGTTGTGCCCTTGTGTCTGTCTCGCCACTGCCATAAGATTGAGTGGGTGTGACTGAAATGTAAGGTATCATCATTATTCCCCCCTACCCCCATAGGGTGTGTGGGCTTGTTGGAGGGGTGATAATTCATCCCACTCTGGCCTACCCCAGGAGGATGGCCACACAGCAGTCCCATCTCTTCACAGGATTTTGGGCATGCACAAACACGTGCCTGGCATGTTTTTCAAGCCGCTGGGTCTAGGACTTGAACCAAGGAGTCAGCCATGTGGGATCCAGCGCCTTGACCTCCATGGAGATGCCACCTGCTGGCCTCATTGTCATTATTCTTTTATTTTTTTAAGGAATTATTTACTTAAGAAAAAATAATAACAAATATAATTAAATAAATAAATAATTCTTTAAAAAATGGGGGGCAGCAAGTGGCATGGTGGTTAAGGGCTCCAGATTCCAACATGGCCAACTGCAGTTCGAGTCCCAGACCTGGTGGCTTGGTTTTTCGCTTTCTCTTTCTCTCTCTCTTTCTCTGGTCAAATTAATAAATAATAATAATAATAAATGTAATTAAATTAATATTAATTCCATTATTATTTCCTTTCTTTTTTTTTTTTAAATTGACCCTGGGGCGGGGGACAAGCAGCCAGGTCTGAAACTCAAACCATGGTCAGCCATGAGGGTCCCATGCCTTTAATCACCACACCACCCACCAGCCCCAATCATCATCATTATCGTTATTCTTAAAGTGGAGAGGAAGGGATGATGAGGAAAAAGGGAAAGGCCCTCCCCCCATTCAGAGAATCCTTCTCTGCAAGAAAGAACCTCTAGGTTAGGATAACCTGGAGATATGGATCCTCAGGACCAGATGGTAAAACTTAGAAGGGTTATGGAGGAAGACTCCATTTGACTTTAAATTCAGGCCGACTAGCCCTGCCTTAGAAATCTGGGGCTCGGGGCCAGCAGGTGGCGTGGTGGTTAAGGGCACTGGACTCCCACATGGCTGACTGCAGTTCAAGTTCTGGACCTTGCAGCTTGCTTTCTGTCTTTCTCTCTTTCTCTCACTCTGTCACTCTGTCCCGCTCTGGTCAAATTTAAAAATAAAATTATTAAAAAAAAAAGAAAAGAAATCTGGGGCTCCTCGGGGTCAGAAGAAGGCATGGTAGCCAAGAGCATTGGACTCCCACATGGTTGACCATGGTTCAAGTACCAGACCTGGCAACTTGCTTTCTCACTTTCCCTCTTCCTCATTCTGTCCCTCTCTGGTGAAATTTAAATAAATAAATGAAGTTAAATAAAAAAAAAAAGAAAGAAAGAAATCTGGGGTTCCGCTATGCCCCCTCCCAAAATACACCATATGTGATCAGAAGAGGGGGTTGGGGTGGGAGGGTGTAGAGAAGCAGGCAGAGTGTGCTAATGGGACTGGAGGCAGTTTTAGGGTCTCTAGATCCTCCCCTGTGTCTGCCTCACCTCCCTCCCTCTCACTCCCTTCCCTCCTCCACAATCCCACTCCCATGCCCACAGGTACGGGCCAGCGCGATTGCCCAGGACGCAGACCAGAACTACGATTACGCCAGCAACAGCGTGATCCTTCACCTGGACGCAGGAGATGAAGTCTTCATCAAGCTCGACGGAGGCAAAGCCCACGGCGGCAACAGCAACAAATACAGCACCTTCTCTGGCTTCATCATCTACTCCGATTGAGCTCCCCACCTCCCCCCCATCTCTTGTCCCCCACTCCCAGGGCTCCCCTCTGGCGAGTGAACACCCATGCCCACCCTCTACGCGGCCTCACAGCCTTGGCTGCTGGCCCTCCCCAGCTATGACACCCCTGGCCTGGCCTCACCACAGCCTGGACCGCAGCTAGGCCCGCCCGCTTGCCCTGCCACAGAGCCAGGCCCAGCACATGGGGTTGACCGCCTGGCCTGGTCCAGCCCGCACTGTACATTTGTACAATAGGACAGTTTACTGCCCAGCCACACCTGCCAGCCCAACCCAGGTCAGGAGAGGGCGTGGTGGGGTTGCTTCCTGTGCTCGCTCAGATGAGCTGCCCTCGGTTCCAGCCCTGGGGTGGTGCTGCCTAGGGGACGGCTGGGTTGGGAGCTGGATAGCCTCCCAGCACCCCCAAAATCCTAGCCCGGCCCTGCTGCACCCCATCTGACCAAAGCTATAATAAAAAAACATTTCCGCCCAGTGGGGTTTCGGTCTTTGCCCTGGAGAGGAGGGGAGGAGGAGAACTAAACTCTGCCCTCTTCTAGACTGGGAAGGAGTCTGGGGGAAGCTTCTGGAAGGATCCAGACACCAGAGTCAGATCTCCTCTAGGAAGAGATGGGCAAAGGGGCCCAAGAACCACCACAGCCCAAGTGGACTTGGGCAGCTGGCATGGGAAGCAGTCCTGTTGCATTACAATCTTTCATGCTGGAAAAGCTCCATTTTTGCATCTCTGAAAGTGGCATCAGCCTTGCAGAGGCACAGACTGGGAGACCTGGTTCTCATCCGTGTGCCACTGTGTGTGATCCTGGGCTAGTCACTCTTCTTGGACTCAGTTCTGTCAGTGACAGTTGTAGAAAGGGACAAGCTTTGCTCTAAAAGCTGATTGACCTTGGTCCAAGTACTTTGTATCTGGGCCTCATCAATAAAATGTTTTCTCACCAATAAAATGTAGGTAAGATGACCTACCTCGTACCTGAGGATTATAGAGGTATGAATGTGCTCAATAAACATAGGTTTTATTATTTATAGATTTTTTTTTTTTTTTTTTTGCCAAGAGATATGTGCCCTCATTAGAGAGAGAGTGAGGGGAAGAAATCACCCTCCGATGAGGCATGGTGAAGGGCACAATCCTTTCTCCATTTCTCCCTTCTTCCAGGATTTTGGACACACACACAGGCACCCGGGGTGTTTTTCAAGCCTCTGGTTCCAGGATTCAAACCATGTAGAAGGCCATGTGAGAACCAATTCCCTTAACCACTAGACTACAGTCCAGCCCCATCACTTTAAAGTTTGCAAAATGCTTTTGGGTATGTCATCTCATGCAAGTTTCCCAAATAGCCCTGGGAGATTGTCTGGACAGACTTTATCCTTCCTGGGAAGTTAAATAGCTTACTCACTGTGACACAGTTGCTAAGCTCTGTAATTGCACTTGAACCCAAGACACTCTAAATTTCCTTGTCCTGCTTCGGCCTTTCTCGCCTTCTGTAACTGGGAGTCATGGCAGACAGGGCATTCCCAAACAATTATGGCTAATATTTGGAGAGTACCCACTATGTGTCAGACACTATGTAAAAGCCTTATACATATTATCTCATGGATGTGCATGGAGGGGTGGGGAGCAGATTAGAGGGAAATGCTCTCATGCCCTTTAACATGGAAGCTGTTATTTTATCCATTCTGGGGGAGAAAACAGGCTCAGAGAGGTTAAGTAACTTGCCAAGACCACAGATCTAGAAACAGCCCAGTATTTGAACCAAAGACCATGCTCTTACCCAATACACTGTATTTCATAGAGTTAGACTCTCCAGAGCAGAACTGAGGGTGGCATTGGGGCAGCCTGACCCACCCGAGCCCTGCAAAGGCCCGATGTATAATATTGACAAGCATCTGCCTTGGGCAGCAGCCATGGGGTGGGCCTTTTGGAGAATCCCAAGGCTCTGCAAGGAAAGGTCCCATCTGGCTGTCCCTCCCCATGCTGGCTCAGCTGGAGAGACAGGAAGGAGGGGTGGATCCCTGGCCAGGTCCCATGTATGGACCCTTGTCATGGCTGGCAGACTTGAATGACTTTCTTTATTCTCCCTTCTCGCCCCTGCTTCCCCCCACTGCCAGCTGTGGCCATTTAATAAAATTAGCTTAATGCTTGTTCCTTCCCTGTGGGGTCTGGAGATTGAAATCTGCGGGTCCCCACAAACCCAATAAAACCCCTGGCAGGTCTGGCTGGAACTAGAGTCTCAGTGGGAAGAGTGATTAGATTAGAGGGCACTCCTCCTGCTCCCCCCCACCCAGTGCCCCCCGCAGCCCCTGTGATTCCTTAATGGCCACATTGGCCTGGAATTACCTAGCCACCACACCTGGAGGGCTGCCCCCCTTCCCTAGAGGCCACAGAGACTGGCCCAAGGCCTCTGTTACAATAAAAGCATGTTAACCATGTCTGTGCTGAGAGCCTGGCTGGCTGGTTTTCCTTTCTTTCTGGTGACTTGATGATCCTTGTGTCATTTTGAGAGATGGGCTGAAATCCCAGATTTTTGCAGATGAGGAGATCATAGTCTGAAGAGAATTCGTGACTTGCCCATGGTCATGCTATAAGTTTGTGGCTCAGCTGGGAAGTGGACTGAAGCCAAGGACTTTTCCACTCTTACACCAGGAGTGTCCTGCAGTGCCAACTGCTTGTCACTCAGGCAACATCCCAGCTACAGGGGAACCTACTGGCAAAGTGTCTCCCCTATCAGACAGGAGCTTCCCAAGGGCAAAGTCTGTGTGTGTGTGTGTGTGTGTGTGTGTGTGTGTGTGTGTGTGTTTTCCTTACAGTTGGGACTTTCTTTTTTGGAAAGGTTTTTGCTATAGGGTGCATGCGCTCGCCAGAAAGACAGAGAGAGACAGAGAGACAGAAAGCGAGAAATCACTCCCCAGGAGGGATGGCCACACCACAATCCCTTCTCCTCCATTCTCCTCTCGGGGTCTTGGGCACATGCACACACACACACACACACACACACACACACACACGTGTCCATTGTGAGTTTAAGCCACCAGGTCCAGGACTCAAACCACCGTCAACTATGTGGGAGTCCAGCGACATAGCCATTACACCAACTGCTGGTCCAAGCTTTCGAAGCTTTCTGAAAGAAAGACCTGTGTCTCCTCCATCAGACTATGGGGCCTCAAAGGCAGTTTTCCAATCGTCGGCTTTCAGAGTGGGCTGTTCCTCCACTGAGACCAGGGATTTGGGGACTCCCAGACGCAGACCGTGGCTCCCGTGAGTGCTTTTTTCTATTAAACTAGACATGTCTAAGACTGGGGGATAGTCTCCACCCTTGGGCTGCAGGTTCTCTGAGGGAGAGACTGTCTCCTTTTCCAACATGGGGCACTCAGAGCAGAGGCCCACTCAGGCTTTTCTGGCACAAAGCGTTTCAGGGGGTAGCGTTGTGGGCAGTGAAAAGCTGTTTGGGCTTAATGTGGGGTCTACAGTGGAGGAAGGAAGCAAAAAGCCTCCTCAGGCTGCCTCCCTTTTAGAAAGATGTGTGATTAATTAACGAAGAATGTCCCCGCCAGGAGGAGTGTGAGGACAGAGGCATCCCTGCTGCTCACCCACACAAGGAATGGCAGGCTATCCTGTACCCAGGCAGCTGCCAGGCCTAGGGGCTGATGCTGCCCTGGTTTCTGGGGTTATGGTGACCAGAGGGGGGCAGCAGGGCCCACTGCTGGGGGCTGCCCTAATTGGATGACTTTGCAGGAAGGCCAGGCAGGTGTGCTTAGTTCTCCGCTTCAGCTTGCTACAAACACATCTGCCATGGTGAGGTCTAGGGGTTAATTGCCTCCCGCCTCACTCCTGGTAACCGATATTTCATTTACTGCTTGGAGGGGGAGTTGCCCAGAGAATCAATCCCGGACAAACGTCCAGGAGACAGGGCACTGGGGAGGCAGGAGCTATTTCCTAGAGGAGCTCTGAGCACCAGAAGAAGAGACAAGGGGCAAAGACCCAGAAAAGGTGGCCACTTGCTCGAGGCTACTCTGGGCATTGCCTGAGTTCTGCTGACCCAGACACCAGCGCCAGGATCCCAAAAGGCTGGGAGAAAATTCCAAGAATCTAGATGCCACACTTTCCCAGGTAGCCATATTGCTCCCCATGTCCTGGTTCCTTCTGCATTTATTTATCTGGGTGCCCCCCCAGATAAAGCTATAGCAGGTTAGATGCTGTTAATAAGGTTATTTTCACAAGTGATGAAGGCATATTTGAAAAGCGGAATTTGGAGGTGTGAGATCCTCACTCCCTTCCAGGTAACAAACCTTAAAATCCTACAAATGAAGTGATAATAAAGTGGAAGTGCAAAGTCTACACATGTTTGAAACTGGGAGGGGGTGGAAGGGTTACTGAGAGGTGGCAGCTGGGAGAAAGGGACCAGAGGGCTACCCCTCCCTGCTATTTTCTATATACTGCCTATGTGTCGCACATGCCAAAATTGAGACTCAGAGCCACAGAATGGGGTTACAGAGCTGGAAAAACTAAGACCCGGAAGGAACTCAAGGATGCTCAGGTTGGTTCAGAGCAGAGTTGTTGGGTCATTGGAACAGTCATGACGTATTTTTCTGTTTTTCTATGCAAAAATGCTTCATGACTTTTATGACAATCCAATAGAACCAGAGATAATAGGACCTGTTAGATAGGCAGAAAGTGGAGAGAGAACTGAGTTCAAGTCCTGGCCAGGGTTAGTGTTTCAGGAAAAGACATGTTATCTCTCTGAGCCTCAGTTTCTGCACTTACAAAATGTGCTAGATAAGAATAGTGGGTGGTAGGAAAAGTCATAATACGTATTTGCATAAAAAAACAATACGTCATGACTTTTCCAATGACCCAGTATCTACTCGAAGGGTTGTTTTGAGGGGGCAAATGAGAATCTGTTTTGTAAGTTATGAAACAAAATGCAAATGCCTGGGTTGGCAGGTGGCGTGGAGGTTAAGGGCGCTTAACTCCCACAAGACCGACTGCAGTTCGAGTCCTGGACCCGGCGGCTTGCTTTCTCACTTTCTCTCTCTCTTGCTCTCTCACTCTATCCCTCTCTGGCAAAAATAAATAAATGGATAAATAAAGTGAAATAAAAATAATTATTTAAAAAATGCAAATGCTTATTTTTATTTCTTTTTTTTTTAAGAGGTTTTTGCTATAGGGCATGTGCACTTGCCAGAAAGACAGAGAGAGATGGAGAGGCAGAAAGCGAGAAATCACTCTCTCAGGGGGGATGGCCACGCCACAATTCCTTCTCCTCCATTCTCCTCTCGGGATCTTGGGCACACAGACACATGTGCCCGGCGTGAGTTTAAGCCACCAGGTCCCGGACTCGAACTGTGATCAACTACATGGGAGTCCAGCGGCATAGCCATTACACCAACTGCTGGTCCCTATTTTTATTTTTTTAGAGACAGAGTCTTGCCTATATTAGTCCAGGCTGTCCTCAAAAATCGATACACTCCCTTCTCTGCCTCCCGAGTAGCTGGGACTACAGGTATGTGCTACCGTGCTTAGCTCAAATGCATTATTATCACAACCCAAGCCTCCTGAGTGCCACGATGTAGAGTGTTTTCGACTGCACTTCAATACCTGGGACAGAAATGATGAGCATCGAAGGAGAAAAAGACACCTGGGTGATTCTCCTGCCAGCGCGAGTGAGGCACTAGGAGAGGGCTTGGTTGGGTGCCTGGGATGCAGAGCTATTAGAACGAGTACCCAGAATCCTCTGTTCCAATGTGGGTTCTCCCATCCGTCTGCTTTGTGGCCTCCAACTTGGGGGATACCCCAGAAGCCCTGTCCCATCCACCTGTTCCTGTATTGACCTGCCCTGCTCCTTTCTTCTCTTTTCTTTACTTTAAAAAAATTTGGTAGGGAACCAGCAGTTAGCGTAATGGCTATGTTGCTGGATTCCCACGTAGTCGACCACGGTTCGCGTCCCGGACCTGGTGGCTTAAAACTCACGCTGGGCGCGTGTGCGCGCGTGCCCAAGATCCCGAGAGGAGAATGGAGGAGAAGGGATTGCGGCATGGCCATCTCCCCTGGGGGGTGAT